TTCTTCATTCCTTTCTTTTCTCCTCTTGACTGGATAATTTCAAAAGATTTATCTTTGAGTTTGCAGATTGTTTCTTCTGCTTAATCAAGTATGTTGTTGAAGCTCCTCTATTGCATTTTTCATTTCGTTCATTATATTCCTTAGCTCCAGGATTTCTGGGTTCCTTCCTTCCTTCCTTCCTTTCTTTCTTTTTTCCTTTCTTCCTCCCTTCCTGCCTCCCTCCCTCTTTCTCTCTTTCTTTCTTCTGCAGTTCAGCAGCTCCAGTTCCAGGGAGGGCATGACAGCACAGTCTCCATGCAGCTCTGTCAGTTGAGGTCAATGTCAGTGAAGACTGTGGAGGGTCCTTGGTGGTCAAGGCTGTGAGTGGCTGTGATGGAAGTAGCGGTGAGGGTTGTTGGCCTCCTAGATGGCAAAGGATGCTGGGGTCCTCTTGTTCATCTTTTCACCCACAGACTGAGGTCCTAGCTGAGGGGATTCTTCTTGGTGCTGTGTCTGGCATATGAGCACACAGGCCTTGATGGCAGTGCTGGGTTCTGGGACAGAGATGTACATGCATTGATGGTGGTGCCAGTGTTTGGGGTGCAGGTGCTCAGAGTGACAGTGTAGTTCATGGCTCCTGAGCTTGGAGTGTGAGCACATCTGCTGTAGTGGTGCCAGTTTCAAAGGCACAGGCATGCACAGATCGCCAATGAAGCTGGGGTCCACATTCTCTTAGGGCATGCCACATCAGCTCAGGTCCTGGTGGGTGGGGTGCAGTGGTGTCTTGGTGCTTGGAGGGGCAAGGTAGAGCAGCAACATGGGCCCCAGGGATGATGGGGTCCTCAGGCTCTGAGTTGCAAGCACACCAGCAACTCAAGCCCTGAAGATGGTGGGTGCTGGGGGAGGCCTAAGCCCTGAGGGGAGGATGCAGCTCCTCCTCTGGGGGGAGTGCAGCGGCTTGGACTCTGAGCAGGTCCATCAGGTGGTGAAGGCTGCTGGTGTTCCTGGTGGTGACAAGAGGTGTTACAGTTCTCCTGTTGTCCTTTCCCCATGGGAAGAAATCCCTTACAGGGGATCCCCTTTGGCACCAAGCTGCTTCAGACCGAGGGACAGAATGACACAAGTCACATTCTTGATACGCTCTCCTATTTGCCCACCCTCATGTTTGTGCTCCACAGTGTTTCCGATACTTTTTCATTCCGTTCTAGATTTGTCCAAGAGCTATTTTCATTGGTATGTACGCAGTGCAAATATTATTCACAATTTCAGGAGAAATGAAGACTTTTTAGACAAGCAAAACCTGATAAAATTAATTAACCAGCAGACGTGCACTATAAGAAATGTTAAGGAGATACACTATAAATGTAAGCGCATAGATAGGTTGAAAGTACCAGAATGGAAAAAGTATATACCACACAAACATTAACCAAAATAAAGGTGATTGAGGCACAAAAATTTCAGAAAAAGCAGATATTATGGCAACAAGTACTGCTTCAGAAAAAGAAGGACATTTCACAATGATAACATGGTTCATTTAACAAGAGTACATAACAGTCTTAAACTTGTAAGCACCTGATTTTATTTTGCCTCATTTATTTTGAAACAACAAACCCAACAATTATAGGTAGAGCTCTTAACATAGTTCTCTCAGTAACTGTGAGAAGCAGACAAAATATCAGTAAACTTACAAGGATTTTAACAAAATGATCAAGCAACTTGACGTACATGCAACAGTCCACCTAACAACTGCAAAGACACATTCATCTTAAGTTCCAACAAGCCATTAGCCAAAGTAAACCATATGCTGGGCATAAAGCAACTCTCACCACATTTCAAAGAACTGAAATCATGTAGAGTACGTTATATGACCACAGTGAAATAAAAATATGAAATGAACAACAGAAAACTAGAAAATATCCATATGTCTAGGAATTTAGTAAACCAGTTTTAATAATTATGAATAAAAGAAGTCACAATGGATATTAGAAAATATTTCTAATATTTTAATATAATTGATAATAAAAATGACTCATCAAAACTTCTGATATGTGGGGTTTTTCCCTGCTCTTACCAGTTTTATTCAAAATTAAGGCACAGAAAAAAAGAAATAAAAGGCATAAGTGTTGGAAAGGAAAAACTGAAACTGTCAATATTTGCAACAATTTGATTGTGTACAAGAAAATCTTATGGGAATCTATAAAATAATTGCCAGATCTTACAGTGAATTTAGCAAGGTTGCAAGATACAAGGTCAGTATACAAAAATTAATTGTATGTCTTTTGTGTATATGTTCCAGCAAAACGTTATTTACAGAAACAGGTGACCAACCTACTCACTAGTTTCTTTTTTCATTGAGATATAATTGATAGATACCACTGTGTAAGTTTAACCTTTACAGTGCATTGATTTGATACATTTATATACTGCAATATGGATTACCATCATAGTGGTAGCTATGTGCCTTTATCACATCACATAATTATCATCTTTTTGTGGTGATATGCGGTTAAAGCAGGGTGCAAAGTGAGCTGCAAGAATGATGTACTGACAGGGAATTCCCTGGCGGCGCAGTGGTTAAGAATCCACCTGCCAATGCCGGGGACACGGGTTTGAGCCCTGGTCCAGGAAGACCCCACATGCCACAGAGCAGCTAAGCCCGTGCATCACAACTACTGAAGCCCGCGCACCTGGAGCCCATGCTCTGCAACAAGAGAAGCCACCGCAATGAGAACCCCGCACACCGCAACGAAGAGTAGCCCCCATTCGCCACAACTAGAGAAAGCCCACACGCAGCACCGAAAGACCCAATGCAGCCAAAAATAAATGAATTAAAAAAATAAATAAATAAAAATTAAAAAAGAAGAATGATGCACTGACACATATCACAACGTGGATGACTCTGGCTGAGTGAAAATTATGCCAAGTGAAATAAGCCAGACACAAAAGGACAAATAAAAGGGATCAGACTTTTCCCTCAAGACACATAAAGCAGAGTTTTAATTTGTCTTTAGAATTTAAGTGATCACCAAAGTAGTTTAAAAGCTTCTCAAAATATTGATATTTTAAATATCTTTCTCTGCCTACACACGGACACACACACACACACACACACACACACACTTTCTTTCTTTCTTTGGTTTAGACAATTACAACCATATTATGCATACTGTTTTATAATATTTTTGCAGGTATTTAATTCATTCATTCATCGAAAAAATGTTTATTAAGAGTCTACTATAGGCCATGCACTGTTAACATTCAGGATTCAGTGATGAGTAAGATAACAAGGTCCCTGTCCTTAGAGACCTTACAACTTAGCTGGAAAACAGATAACAAAGACATAAACACGAATAAACAAGATACTTTCAGAGGTGTTATTGGAGCTTTCTCAGGTTCTTCACTCACTTCTTACAAAACTGCATTTCTTGAAGTAAGATAAGTTTCTGGGTATGAAGGTGAATCTATATTTTTATGTGATGAGATTGGTTTTTATTCCCAAGAAATTTCCCCATGAGAATTTATCTCCAGAAAAGCCATAAGTGTAAGAGAATAACTACAGTGTGTAGGTAGTTTTATGTACTTCCCTCTGCAGATGATGGGGGTGGGAGGGACAAGGAGCCCTTGTTACTCAGCTGCAACAGTGTGTGTTAGATTTAGGCCGGGCCTCTGTTCCTCCTCAACACTGGGCTGGTGCTCTCAAAAGCAATGAGATAATATCTCACACCAGTCAGAATGGCCATCATCAAAAAATCTAGAAACAATAAATGCTAGAGAGGGTGTGGAGAAAAGGGAACACTCTTGCACTGCTGGTGGGAATGTGAATCGGTACAGCCACTATGGAGAACAGTATGGAGGGTCCTTAAAAAACTACAAATAGAACTACCATATGACCCAGCAATCCCACTACTGGGCATATACCCTGAGAAAACCATAATTCAAAAAGAGTCATGTACCAAAATGTTCATTGCATTGTTACAATAGCTATTGTTTACAATAGCCAGGAGATGGAAACAACCTAAGTGTCCATCATCGGATGAATGGATAAAGAAGATGTGGCACATATATACAATGGAATATTACTCAGCCATAAAAAGAAATGAAATTGAGCTATTTGTAATGAGGTGGATAGACCTAGAGTCTGTCATACAGAGTGAAGTAAGTCGGAAAGAGAGAGACAAATACCGTATGCTAACACATATATATGGAATTTAAGAAAAAAAATGTCATGAAGAACCTAGGGGTAAGACAGGAATAAAGACACAGACCTGCTAGAGAATGGACTTGAGGATATGGGGAGGGGGAAGGGTGAGCTGTGACAAAGCGAGAGAGAGGCATGGACATATATACACTACCAAACGTAAGGTAGATAGCTAGTGGGAAGCAGCCGCATGGCACAGGGAGATCTGCTCGGTGCTTTGTGACCGCCTGGAGGGGTGGGATAGGGAGGGTGGGAAGGAGGGAGATGCAAGAGGGAAGAGATATGGGAACATATGTATATGTATAACTGATTCACTTTGTTACAAAGCAGAAACTAACACACCATTGTAAAGCAATTATACCCCAATAAAGATGTTAAAAAAAAAAAAGCCTTGCGGTAGTTATGGAGGGAGAGAGGGGGCGAGAAGCTGACAGCCACATTCGTCTAGAAGGCTGCACAGTGGTTTGATGTTATGTGTGCAAAAGGAGATAATGATGTACTTCCCAGCAATACCAATGTTCACAAGGTACACAGAAACACGTTTAGTCCCTCCGTGTTAACTGCATGTATAAATGTATATTCACCACTACAGTTTAGTAAACACACTTAAAATTTTGGCCGATGGCAAGTAAAAGCACTTTTTAGAACAAAGACTTTTAACTTAAATACTTGATGTGGTATTGTCTTTGAAATGCCTTGTAATTACCAAAATCACTTGAACCATTTAGTATCTACCCAAATGTAAGCTAGTGGGCAAAAGAACATGTGAATGGCTAGTGAAGCAAACACCACTGTTAGTAAAAGAATAATATAAATAACTAACCTGGGTTTTCCATTGACATGAAGACAGTTTCTCCTGAGAAGGGGAATAGGGTAAGTGTGTCTTCATAGACCATTTTGTGTTTGAAGGTATATCCAGAGAAGAAGACAGACAGGAAGTCAGTCTGTGCTCCAATACTTAGAATGTACCAGTATGCCACCTCATGCAAACAAACCGACAGCTGCAAGCTATCAAAAACATAGCCATTGATGCCTGTAAAAAGAATGGAGAATAAAAGATTTTAGCAGTATCTGCATGTATTATTTTGGATTGTCATGATCTGATTAGAAATGATTATATGTTATGCCCGTTATCTTATTCCCAAGAAGAGATAACATTATACCTTTCAAAAAAGTGAATTGTTAATACTTGATCAGCTAGGTTCCAGTGTCAAAGTGCAGAGAGTCACAGACCATCACAGTACTGATGGATTTAGATGCTGTATGGTGGGCGGCAGGCTGATGAGCAGCAGGACGTTTGCATGCTCTCAGAGTATCTCCCTATACACTGATTATTAGCTGCAAGGAGAAAAATAATAACTACACGGAGGAAAAAAACAGAAAAAAACTCTTGATCTGGTGATCAAAATTAGTATCTGCTAGTGTTCCAAATTCAAGGAAACAGATTTCAAAGAAGCAGGACAACTAGATCCATGACTAGACCCTGAAACAGAGAGAGGAAATGCTACAAAATACAGTACTGATGGATACAACTGGAGTATTGGCTACCAATTAGGTAAGTTTATTGTATAAATGTGTTAGATAATGTATTCTATCACTGTTAAATTTTCTGGATTTCATAACTGCACTTTGATTATATAAGCAAATATCTTTATTCATAGGAAATACACAATGAAGTATTAAGAGATAAAGGGGCATGATACCTACAACCTATTCTCAAGTTGAAAATAAGTAATAAAAAGTATATATAGAAGAAAGAGAGAATGATAAAGCAAAAATAGCAAAATCTTAAAAATGAGTGAATCTGGATAAAGGGTATATGGGACTTTACTATTCTTGCAGCATTTCTGAAAGTTTGAAATTATTTCTAAATAAAAAGTAAGTAAAAGTAACACAGATTTCAATTTATAAACAGAATTGTTTCTGAAAGCCTCTTCCATACATCTATCTGTCCATCCATTCAATAAACATTTGTTTACTCTGCAAGGTGGAGGCCCACAAATCCACTAAGCAATGCTCAGACACTAGCTTAGTGCAACTAATTGAGAATCAAAGTTTCTTGCCCTACAAAGTGTTAAAAGATATTTTAAAGCTATCATAATTAAAAGCACAGTCTTAATTCAGGTATAGATGATTATGTCAATCAGAATATAGAGTCCAGAAACAGACACAGATATAAATGGAAATTTAATATATGACAAAGAGAGCATTCCAAAACAGTAGCAGAAAGAATGAACTATTTGGTAAACGCTGATGGAAAATATGACTATTCATATGGAACCACAAAAGACCCTGAATAGCCAAAACAATCCTGAGAAAGAATAACAAAGCTGGAGGCCTCACACTTCCTGATTTCAAACTATACTACCTTTGTAGTGATTAAAATAGTATGGCGCTCGCATAAAAATAGACACATAAATCAATGGAAAAGAATCAAGAGCCCAGAAGTAAACTCTCACATATATGGTCAACTGATAAATGACAAGAGAGCCAAGAATACTCAATGGGGAAAGGATAGTCTCTTCAATAAATGGTGCTGGGGAAACTGAATAGCCACACGCTGAAGAACGAATTTGGACCTTTACATTACATGATACACAAAAATTAACTTGAAATGGATTAAAGACAAGCATAAGACCTGAAATTGTAAAACTCCTAGAAAACATAGGCAAACTTGTCTTTGCAATGATTTTTTGGATATGACACCTAAAGCACAAGCAACAAAAGTAAAAATTAATACGTGGGACTACATCAAACTAAAAATCTTCTGCACAGCAAAAGAAACGATCAACAGAATGAAAAGGCAACCACCTATGGAATGGGAGAAAACATTTGCAAAGCATGTATAAGGGATTAATGTCCAAAATATATAAAGAACTCATACAACTTAATAACAAAACAAACAAACAAAAACAATTTGATTTTAAAAATGGGCAGGGGAACTGAATAGACATTTTCCCAAAGAAGACATACAAATGGTCAACTGGTACATGAAAAGATGCTCAACATCACTAATCATCAGGGAAATGTGATCCTCAGTGAAATACGTCAGAGAAAGAGAAATACTGTATGATTCCACTTATATGTGGAATCTAAAAAATATGAACTCATAGAAACAGAGAGTAGAATTGTGGTTACGAGGGGCTGGGGTGTGTGTGTGGGAAATGGATAGATGTTGGTCAAAGGGTACAAACTTCCAGCTATGTAAGAGGAATAAGTTCTGGTGATCAGCATGGTGATTTTGTTAATAATACTGTATTATATACTTGAAACCTGCTAAGAGAGTAGATATGAAATGTTCTCACCACAAAAAAGAAATGGTAATTATGTGATCTGGTGGAGGTGTTAGCTAACACTATGGTGTTATACACCTTAAACTTATACAATTTTATATGACAATTTTATATTAATAATGCTGGACACAAAACAAAACAAACAACAGTCTGTGTACAAAGGGTAAAATTTCAAAGGTATTCCCTCCGCAACGGGAAAAGACGTGTGCATAACTCCCAAAATAGGAAAGAAAAATCGGAATTTAAAAACACTTAATTGATCAAAAAATAAAGGAGAAAATACTAAAAATTTAGAAAAAAAGGAAACACAAATTACTAGAAATAAATCCCATGTAGATAGGATAAACTCCCCATTTAAGAGGGAGATGGTCTAGGACTTCCCTGGTGGTCCAGTGGTTAAGACTCCGTGCTTCCACTGCAGTGGGCACAGGTTCAATCCCTGTTCAGGGGAACTAAGATCCTGCATGCCAGGCGGCGCAGCCAAAAGAAAGAGAGAGAGAGAGAGAGAGAGAGAGAGAGAGATGGTCTAATGGGATCTCGTCCTTAGAGCAGATTCTCCCAGGGCCTCCGCACAGATTTGCTCTGGCCATTGGCTCCTCCTGATTGGCAGAGTCATCCTTGGGGGATTTCTCCTCTATTCATATGGCTTTCCTTCCTGGGGCTGCTTGGCAGAGAGTCCCTGGCTCAAGGCTCAGGGGTTTGGAGCTGGCTCCAGGTTCTCTGATTATTTCCAAGTTTTAGCAATTATGGATAGAGCTGCTGTATACATTCATGGACAGGTTTTTGTGTGAACCTAAGTTTTTATTTCTCTAGGGTAAATACCCAGGAGTGGGATTGCTGGATCATATGGTAGTTCTATGTTTAATTTTTGAGGAACCTCCATACTGTTTTCCATAATGGCTGTGCCAACTTACATAGCCACCAACAATATACAAGGATTCCCATTCTGCACATCCTTGCAACACTTGTTATCTTTTGTGATTTTGATAATAAGCATTCTAACAGGTGTGAGGTGATATTTCATTGTGGTTTTGATTTGCATTTGCCAAACTGTCTTCCAGAGTGACTAAACCATTGTACATGCCCACCAGCAATGCATGAGGGTTCCTGTTGCTCTGCACTTTTGCCAGCATATTTAATATTGTCCGTTTTGTTTTATTTTAGCTGTTAAAATAGACATGTAGCGGTATCTCACTATGGTTTTAATATGCATTTCCTTAATGGCCAATGATGTATTTTTTCATATGCTTATGTGCCTTCCATATATCTTCTCTTGTAATGTGTCTGTTCAAATCTTTTGCACATTTTTAGGGATCTGTTTGTTTGTTTTCTTACTGCTGACTCTGAGAGTTTACATATGGATATGTGATTTGCAAATATTTTCTACCAATCTGTGGCTTGTCTTTTCATTCTCTTTAATAATATCCTGTGTAGAGCAAAAGTTTTTCATTTGATGAAATCCAATTTATCAAGTTTTTCCTTCTATTAATTTTGATTTTGGTGTCATTTATCAGAAGCCTTTGCCTAACTCCAGGTCATGAAAATTTCCTTCTGTGTTTTCTTTTTGTCATTTTACATTACACATTTATATATATATATTTTTTTTCTTTAACTATATTAATCTTCTAAATCATGTAGAAAACAAAATGTGCCTTTACACACCAATGTTACAATAATACTAGCATTTTAAAATTACCCATGAATTTGACTTGACTGAGCTACGCGGGCCTCTCACTGTTGTGGCCTCTCCCGTTGCGGAGCACAGGCTCCGGACGCGCAGGCCCAGCGGCCATGGCTCACGGGCCCAGCTGCTCCGCGGCACGTGGGATCTTCCCGGACCGGGGCACGAACCCGCGCCTCCTACATCGGCAGGCGGACTCTCAACCACTGCGCCACCAGGGAAGCCCTACACATTTATATTTTTAAATATAAATTAATTTATTTATTTTTGGCTGTGTTGGGTCTTTGTTGCTGTGCATGGGCTTTCTCTAGTTGTGGCGAGCGGGGGCTACTCTTTGTTGCAGTGCGTGGGCTTCTCATTGCGGTGGCTTCTCTTGTTGCAGAGCATGGGCTCTAGGTGCGTGGGCTTCAGTAGTTGTGGCACACGGGCTCAGTAGTTGTGGCTCACGGGCTCTAGAGCGCAGGCTCAGTAGTTGTGGCACACGGGCCTAGTTGCTCCCCAGCATGTGAGATCTTCCCGGACCAGGGCTCAAACCCGTGTCCCCTGCATTGGCAGGCGGATTCTTAACCACTGCGCCACCAGGGAAGCCCTTACATTATATATTTAGATCTATGATCCATTTTAAGTTAATCTTTAAGTGCGAGATTTAGGTTGAGGTTCATCGTTTTGTATATGGGTGACTAATTGTTCCAACACTATCTGTTGAAAAGACTATTCTTTCTCCATTGAATTGCATTTCCATCTTCATCAAAAATCAATTAGTCATATATGTGTGAGTCTATTTCTGCACTATATATTCTATGTCATTCACCTTTGTCAATACAATGCTACCTTGGTTACTGTAGCTTTATAGTAAGTCTTAAAATCAGGTAATATGAGTCCTCCAACTCTATTTTTCTTTTTCAAAATTGTTTTGGCTATTCTAATGCCTTTGGCTTTCCATATAAATTTTACAATATACTTTTCCCTACCAACAAAAAAAAATCCTCCTGGGATTTTAATAGGAATTGCATTAAATCTACAGATCAATTTGGGAATAGCTGACATCTTCACTCTATTGAGTCTTCCAATCCATGAATGTTGCATGTCTCTCCACTTATTTAGGTCTTTTAAAATTCCTTTCATCAGTGTTTTCTAATTTTCGGTGTACAGATCCTGCATGTTTTGTTAGATTTAGGCCTAAGTATTTCATTTTTTGAGCTATTATAAATGGTATTAGTTTTGTAATTTAAGTTTCCAATAGTTGGCTATTGTTACGTAGAGATATGACTGACTTTGGTATGTCAACTTTGTATTCTGCAATCAGACTAAACTCACTTATTAGTTCTAGGAGCTTTTTTGTGGTGATCTTGAGATTTTCTATGTAGATAATCATGTCGTATTCAGTTTTATTTCTTTACTTCCAATCTGCATGCTTTTAAATCTTTCTAGTTTCCTTCCCCAATTTACCTGCTGCCAACTACTTTTCAGGGTTCTCAGATAGCTGCTGCATGCGTTTTGTATGGAACAATCCTTAACTATCATTCAGCAGGACAGACAGGGTGATTCCATCTTAAACAGAACCAGAACTGCAAAAGGCATATATTTTTAATTTTAACGGTTTCAATCAGATTGGTTTCAAAAAGACTATGTTAGTTATCCACTAGCATTGTATGCTAATACCCTTTTACTCACAAGCCCACTAGTAATAATTATATTATAATTTTGCCAGTCTGACAGGTATTAATTGTTATCGCAATGGTACTCTATTTTGCATTTCTCTGTAGTGAGACTGAAATTTTTTATCAAATTTTTGACCATTCTGACTTGTGTGTGTATATAAACACATACACATATGTGCTCCCACCCAAATTCATATGTTGAAGGTTCTAACCCCTAGTACCTCAGAGATATTGAGCAAAATATCAATGACTTTTAATACACCAAAGTCAAATTCAATAAAAGCAGTGAGAAACCTAGCATTCAGAGATAGGGTCTTTAGACAGGTAATTCTTTAAAATGAGGTCATTAGGGTGGGCCCTAACCCTATATGATTCGTGTCCTTATAAGAGGAAATTTGTACACAGACATGTGCACACACAGAGGAAAGACCACCTATAAGCCAAGGAGAGGGACCTCAGGAGAAACCAATCCTGTTGACACCCTGATCTTGGACTTCTGGCCTCTAGAATTATGAGGAAATAAATGTCTACTGTTGAAGCCACCCAGTCTCTGGGACTTTGTTATGGCAAGCCTAGCAGACTAATACAACGTATATGGTTCTGTTTTTTTTTTTTTTTTTTTTTGCGGTACACGGGCCTCTCACTGTTGCGGCCTCTCCCGTTGCGGAGCACATTTTTTTTTTTTTTGTGGTGTGTGGGCCTCTCACTGTTGGGGCCTCTCCCGTTGCGGAGCACAGGCTCCAGACGGCCATGGTTCACGGACCCAGCCGCTCCGCGGCATGTGGGATCTTCCTGGACCGGGGCACGAACCCGTGTCCACTGCATGGGCAGGCGGACTCTCAACCACTGTGCCACCACGGAAGCCCCGTATATGTGTTTATATATTATTATATAATCATAGAAAAATATGTTTTAACATGGCCTACTGGACACAAAATGATTAGCGGAAAGGTATAATATGGAAGGAGGAGGGAAGATAAGAGGGAAGGGGAAGCCAAATAAATATCAAAAAGATCATGTTGTACACTTTAAATATATACAATTTTTATTTGTCAGTTATACCTCAATAAAGCTGCAAAAAAAAGACGTTGGGTTTTTTTAAATGTACAATGTCGTGATTAATTTGACTGTTAAATTGTTATAGCTGGCAATTTTTTTACATATGTAAAATTGCATTCCCTTTGTATTTCATGTGTAATTTACTGATTGAGCACATTTCATATTAAGGATGGCTTATGTATGTTTGGGTAAATGAAAACTGTGTGTCTGATTTATCCTTTAAAAATAAACTTCACTGAATATTTGATGCCTTCTAAAAGAAAATATATGCATTATATGATCATATTTATGCATTTACATAAAATTGCATATGTTCATATGTAATAATGTTTAAGGAAATATGACTCTTGTGTGGCATATAAATTAACTGCACATCAATTTGGTGTCTTCAGTTTCCCTTTATCCATTACCCACTGGACTCAAGTGCTGCCTTACTTACTGTGCATGATGTTGGAGACTTGGAACTCTGGATCCTGGGGCTGCACTCCATCTGCATTGGGGAGGAAGCGCTGAATATTCTCTGTGAGGTACCAGCTTTGATTCTCGTCAAATACAGAAAACAGGATGACATTTCTCTTGTCTGACATCATCTATTAATTACATGGAATGAAAGGAAGAAAGAAATGCTACTAGTATTGTCAGGTAGAAATTAGCAGTCTATGATGGAAGTGATGGCATGCATATGATGTATCTACAATCCTCTGGTTCAATGCCATTTCTCCCTAGGGTCACTATTATGGCATGTCCCAGGGCCTGGGAGCAGTGAGTATATGCTTAGAGCAAATGTGTCCTCAGGGCAAGAGGGTGGCTGGACCCATTAAACTTAGTTTCTTCTGGACCCAAGGCTATATGCTGGCTGACCGTTTTGGTAGAATCTGTAGCCTCATTCTCTCCATGTTCAGATTAGAGAATTTTCACTCTTTAAAGACCCAAGTGATTATTCAATGTCTTTCTTAAACAATTTAGTCAAATCAAGTAAGGTGAATGCCTTCCCTAAACTTTCATCTAGCAAATGCCCTTCCACAAGACTACCAATCTATGAAAAATTAAAAATACAAAATAGAAGTAAAATAACAAAGTTAAGATGAACCATAAAATGTTTACTAACACTAACACTTTTAAGTTTTACGTTTACAAAGTTGAAAGTTTTTTTGTGGGGAGGAGCTGTTTGTATATGAACCGAAGTCATGAGTTAGTCACTTGCTAATTGAATCCACTAAGAATTAATGTATAAACTTCACTAATATGTATAAATTTCATCTTGTGTAAACTATTACTACAGAAATTAAAATGCTGAGGGGAGGAGATTGGAGAATATAGGTACATTTCAGTCCTCTTCCAAAAACTGATGGAAAACTATAATTAGGAAAAATTAGGAAAGATACTTGGCCAAACTGATGCGTCTCTGGGTTTGTGCGCCACATGTTTTACCTGCATTAAAGTTCATAAAATGTTTTCAGACTAGTAGGAATCCTATATATCATAAATAACCAAATGGACATGTAGTCAAGCCTCAGCAATACGGCAATGAGTTATTTTGCAGCCAAACAATGAGTTTTTGTGAAGAATCAAGCTTTTTAAATTCAGAGTATTTAACAATTTTTTCTAAAATGGCAGAAGTGGTCCAAATTCTAACCATATTCTGAAATATTTTCATATTGCCTTGAATTTTGCTCAACAAATATTTACTGAACTCCTACTAAAGTACCGCACACTATGCTAGATGCTGCACATGTGTTCATTTTGAGGTGTCTTTGAATCTCCCACAGTGAGATGTCCAGGGGAGACGTCTAAGCTATCGTATACATTTGTGGGTCACCTGAAAATAGGTGGTAATTGATCATGTAAAAATGGGCAAGATCACTTACAGAGAGAGGAATTTTAGACTGAGAATGAGTATTATAGAAATAACCTAGGGCCCAGGCTCTCCTATCCATCCAGCAGGCAAGTTTATTACACCAAAGTCAAATTCAATAAAAGCAGTGAGAAACCCAGCTCATTTCTTTTTTTGCTCAATATTTCAGACTACTGTATTTCCTGCAGGCTACAGGTGGATGTACACCGAGAGAATACAGGAAATACTATCTGGAAGTTCATGTGCATCATCATTCCATTTTAGCTTCAGACCCGGCACTTGGAAAGAGGTGAACTCACCTGGTTTCCTCTTTGATCTACAGACTCTTTGTAGCAGATGAGGAGAGGGCCAATGAGTCCTGAAGCCAGATCTCTCTCTAGATTAACGAAGCTTGAGTAATATCGGGTCAGGCACCGAGGATCTGATTTTGTTGGCCCGTCTTCTACAGTCACTGTCCATTTATATTTGAATATCTCTCCTGGCAGAATCGGCATATCTTTCAAATGCTTCACTCCTACCCACACCCAAACCCCAAAATAGCCTGATTAGAAGTATAACAAGGCACATATTGGTAATCGTGTCGTTATTACAATGGCTCTACAAATTTATATGTACATATAAAGTTTCTCAATAAGTGAAAACTAAATTTGCACCTCTTATAAGTTTAAGATTCACACAACTTTTTACAATAAAAATAGGTTCAGGGGCTTCCCTGGTGGCGCAGTGCTTGAGAGTCCGCCTGCCGATGCAGGGGACGCGGGTTCGTGCCCCG